CCCGCATGGCCCCTTTTTTTGGCCAATCCTTTTCTGTTGGCCCAACAGCCAAAACGGCCCAGCCCACTTCCTTCACGCGACGCCCGGTCGCACCTGAGCCATAAACCTAGGCCTAGGGCAGCAAAAAGCTGGTCGATCATGCCAGCAGCATCACTTTGGTCAGATGTCGCCGGCCCGAGCATCTGGCGCCATTGAGCCGATTGACGATCATGTGGCGACTTGGTGAACAAAAACCCGCCCCCCGGCCACGGTCAGCCAACCCTAGCGGCCATTTGCATTCACGCTCTCTCTCTCTCTTCGCCTCACTGCTCTCTCTTCTCTCCTCAGTCAGTCACCGAGCGAGCAAGCAATCCATGGCGAGAGCAAGCAGCGAGCCCAGCGCTGTCATTGCCCCTCCCCTCACCGGCGCGCAAGGCCTCCCAGGTGGTGTGAGCGCCGCCGCCGAAGTGGCTTTGACCATGGCGTTGTAGGGCTCTGTTCCAACAAGGAGTGCCCCGAGCCGGCCTTTTCTTCTCAGCCAGGCATTTGGCGTGATCAGATGAAGGTTGTGAGCGGCAAGGTAGGCCACCCCGTTCCTTTTCTTCCTCTTTCTTTTGATTCGTTTGTTCGGATTTCATTCGATTTCCTGATTAGGGTTAGGGTTAGGGTTTGGGATGGCCACTATTGTCTTTTCCCAAATTGATTTCTTGACGGGTTTGAAGTTCGGTTTCTAGTTGAAACCATGTGTATCATCTCTGTCCCAAAACCCAATCTAGGGTTTGGTTGTATCTTTTCTTTTCTTTTCCCGAACCCGATCTAGAGTTAGGGTTAGGTTTTCTTTCATCCTTTCTCAGATCCGAAGGGATCAAGGTTAGGGTTCAACCGAACCCTTTGTCGGCCGAAGCCCCTTTCTACATTCTAGATCCGCACTGGATTTCTATTTCTTAAGCCAAATCTATACCTAAACCGTGGCTCTGATACCAATGTTAAAACTGTTGGATCATAGATCTAGCCTTTGACTGTCCTATTCGGTATAACATGTAAAACGGTAGATCCTAATACATCTAGAACAGTCTAGAGAGAGACAGGGAGAGAAGGGGAAATGGTACCAAACCTGAGACCGCAGGGGTGGAAGATCCAGTGGCCTCCATCAGGTTTGCTGGTGTAGGCTGTGCACGGGCAGCGACGGTCGGGGAAAAGTCGGTGAAGTCCGGCGACGGGGTGACGTGCAGTGAAGCCGACGGTGATGACGGTGGCGTCTTCCCGTCGTTGGCTGCGCACCCTTGCTAGATCGGACTTAGGGTTTGTTGGTGGGGCGGATTGGCTCACGGTGAACCTCGTACCTCGAGCCGCCGGCCCCCACCACTTTATATAGCGCAGTGCGACGGGGGTCCACCAACCATGTAAGGTTGGACGCCCCCGATCAGGGCGCGTGACCAAGGCCCAATAGGTCGTTGGGCTTATTGGCTGGGAGATCAATCTAACACTTCCTCCTCAGCCACCGGAAAAATTCATCTTTCTTCTGAGCCACTGTTTTGATTTTTTCGACCCCTGCATATCACTGCCGTCAAAACATTAGCTAACAGGAGCATAAAATGTTCCTTTTGCCCCTCTTACAGGTGGCCCCACGCGTCATCTTCTTCCTCATCTTCCAGCCTCCCCAACCGACGCTGCTATTCCGCGCCTCCGCCCCAGCTCTCGACGCAGAAGGACTGTTGCAGAGCTCCAAAAGCGGACGATGACCGCCACCACACCACCACCCCTGCACTGCTGCAGGCTACAGAATCTGTCGATCCCCATCCTGTGGTGTCGTGTGGTAGCTACTAGGACTATAGGGGATTGGAGGAAGGCTAGCTAGGCCAAATCCCTGCGACGTCCTACTAGCAAGTATCGGCACCAGATCCCGGGCAGTGAGCGCGCAGCGGCGGCGGGGCCAAATGCCTCCTTCTGCGTGCTCTGGCGGAGGCGCAACGCTGAACAAATGAAAGTGGCGGCTCTTGGCGGCGGCTCGATCCGCGCCGCCACGGGTGTCCCGCTTTGGTGGTACACGGTGCGACCGGTGATTCCAGAGTAGTCTGCGTGGCCACCTCGCTCGCTCGCTTCCTCCCGGCCCTGCCAGCGTGCGCGCGTCCGTTTGCTTTGACCGTCCGGGAAAACGCGGGTGGGATTCCGTAGCTCGATCCGCTGCCGCCGGCCGGCAGTGGCGGCGCAATCGAGCAGTCCGTGGTGCAAGAGGGAAGGAGGAAGAAGATGACACGTGGGGCCCACTTATAAGAAGAGCAAATAGCTACGAAAGTAAACAATAATTTTCTATAAAAAGACGAAGAGCGAAAGATTAAATTTTACCGAAGAGAAATAGCGACGAGCCTCAGTGACTGTTGCGGCCATGCAAACTACAACAGTAGACGAGTGATCGATCGGAGGTCAGTGAGGCAGAGGCTAGAGGCCACCAGGACTAGGGCGTGACTCTCACGCCTCAGTGCGTCCGCCGGTACACCTTGGGCGACAGCCTCAGGACGGCGCCGCGGCGTGACACGTGGGGCCCACTTGTAAGAAGGGTAAAATGGGCATTTAAGTTCATGTTAGCTGCCGTTACCACAAAAGTTAATGGCAGTGGCGTATAGGGATCAAAAAATCAAACCGATAGTTGAGAAGGAAGATAATTTTTTCGGTAGTTGAGAAAGAAGATGCATCTCTTATAATGGCTCACAGGGAATTGTCTCTTGAAACACGCCGCGGCGCCGTCCTGAGGCTGCCGCCCAAGGTGTACCGGCGGACGCACTGAGGCGTGAGAGTCACGCCCTAGTCCTGGTGGCCAATGCCCTCTGGCCTCTGCCTCACTGACCTCCGATCGATCACTCGTCTACAGTTGTAGTTTGCATGGCTGCAACAATCACTGAGGTTCGTCGCTATTTCTCTTCGGTAAAATTTAATCTTCCGCTCTTCGTCTTTTTATAGAAAATTATTGTTTACTTTCGTAGCTATTTGCTAACATCACAACTAACAAATTATTTAATTATTTAACATTGTGTTTTAATATTTATGCAGTTACGAAGAAAAACTCGGATATTGCATTTTTTTGAAGTTGATGAAGACGATATAATTAAGATATTTATGTCTTTTCGAAAGCGTCGAATAAAATAGTTAGAAAAATAACATTGTAAGTCTCCGATACTCTTATGGCTTCAACTTAATCCATGAATTATCCTAAATTAAGCTAAAATCCTAGATTCGCTGCTGTGGAGCGGTCGACCTGCTAGCACTACTCTGTGGTTTGGCGATGCTCGTCTGCGAGCTACTAGCTACGTACGTGTTGTGGAAGAAGCCGGACGGTGCTGTCTGCCGCCTCCTTTTATAGACGATACAGTGAGCGAGCGAGCCAGGCAGTCAGGCAGCCAGCCGGCAGTGCGCCGCGCGAGTCGAACTCGAAGATGCATGGTGCGCTGCGGCAAGCCGGGGACGAGCTGCTTTGCATCGGCGTCGTTTGGGTGGCCGATCGATCGAGTGCACGCGGGGTGGGTGATGGGCGTGGGCCACGTGGCTCATGGCTGCCGTTGAGATACGAAACTCACCGCTCACGAGGGCGCGGCAGTCAAAATAACATAGAAAAAGGAGTCATGAATGGCAAGACCTGTTTGTTTAGTTCTAAAAATTTTCACACTAAAATGTCACAACGAATCTTGCGGCATATGTATGGAGTACTAAATGTAGATGAAAAAAAAACTAATTGCAAAGTTGGGTGATAAATCGCGAGACGAAACTTTCGAACCTAATTAGTCCATAATTAGACATTAATTGTCAAATACAAACGAAAGTGCTACAGTAGCCAAATCCAAAAAAATTCGCGGACTAAACGCGCCCTAAATAGAAGTTTTTAGAAGTCACACAAGTTCAAGTACAGTGCTTGCTCAGCAGTCTAGAAAACGATATCTATTCGTAGTTTACAATAGTACTATGGAACCCGTCTGCAGAGAAGTAGGTGCTACCTTTCAAAACAGTGGTGAAAATTCTTTTGTGGTCTCCTTGACACATTTTCTCAAACTTTAATAGTATCTCCATATATATAGCAGTGCCCAAGAAATGATTTATTTACCACGCCAATCAAAGAAGAAAAAGGATATATATCCTTCGATAAGTCCGCAAATCAAATTAGACAGCAATTCTTTCAAAAGGCCCATGAAATATATTTACAATTGCAGGAGAGGCCTTTCCAAGAGTCATCACGATGGAATGGAACGCCTGTCCTAGGAGGACCGCCAGTTTGACAAAGCAAATAGCCAAAAACACCCATGAGAAACAATCTTTATCATAGGTTGGAAATGCATATCAACATTTCTATTCTAAAATTCTCCAGCAACAAACACAAGTGACGTTCAGATGGATCATCTCCAGGAATGGCGCTACCTCCAGACTCTGTTTGTTTCAGTTCCGTAGCAATGCACCGGCAAACCTATATAAAACAAGTAAAAAGTAACCAACAGGATAAGAAACATCCACACGAGATTCAGATTTAAGATGTTTCCAAGACCAAGAGGCTATTTAGCATCATGTCAAATGACAGCAGATTCATGGTGAGATCATCCATTAGAGAAAAACGACTTATAGATCCAGCAGCTTATCATTCTGAAAATTGCATATATGAGAAAATGACATTTGCAACTTTGGACACTAGCTACAAACAGATAGATTTTGTAGGCACTGAGAAGAGAACATTGTTTAGATTATTGTTGACTAAAGCATCCTCAGTGACGGCTAGCTTTGTATTTGTATAGTCATTTGAAGTGGGGCATCGTTTGAGTCATCGTTGCTCAAAAATATCAGTTAGAACCTAGAACACTTCCAAATACATTGTGAAAGGTGTAGTTCTTGCCATTACACAAGTTGGGGAACAGCTGCAAGCAAAGGTAACAATGATTGGGTTTAATTGTTGGGCTACAAGATATGAAAGTTGAATGAGACTGATTAGTGTTAATGGATTTGCAGTGGCTACATAAAAGATTATAGGCAGAAGCTTATCTAAATCACTTGGTATTCTTAGTGATGATTTGGTTTTTATCAACACCAGCTCTCTTGCATTTTTTTTTGGTTGACCAGTTTTCAGTTCTCAGCCTGCAGAAGATGCATGAAATACTCAGATGTTTTTCTGTCCCTTCGTACAAAAAGTCTGATTGATCATAAGTAAACACATGCCATTTTTGTAAGTCCAAACTTTTACTGGGGGACAGGGGAGGGGGGCTGCAGTGTAGCTTCATTTTCTAAAGCTGCAGCGAGTTCTTTCATTTTACCTTCTTTTGCCTTCCAATTGATCATCACTATCTTTTGTCTGCAAAGGTATTGTATAAAGTACTGATGGAAGCATCAAAGAAATGATCCATAAAGGCTGAGTATCAATCATTTATGATTAGAATTATTGAGAGCGCCAGAATATTTGGTGATGCAAATATCTGTAAAACATTCAGCTCGGTCTGTCTTAATTCACGGAGTTCACAATGAAGATACTTGGTTTATGCAAGAAAAGCTAAATTGATAAGGAAGCATGGAAAAATGGAAGGTAAGTCATATATAAATCTAAGTGTAGCAAATGCAATGTGTATTCTTCTCGTTTTTTCCTTTTCTTTTCTTTTTTTGCAATCATATAGCAGTAGATTATTTGAGGATAAGTGAATGGCATAAAGAAATTGAAGACAAAATCAGGTTGTCTATATGTAAACTGAAAACTGACCTTTCTGTCAACTTCGCTTTCTAGCAACAGCCTCTTGCGAACAATGGACTGCGTGTTAGTCACCGTGTCTTTTATCTGCCAATAAGACATATATTGGTTAATGATCCTGTGATAACAGTTTGTAGTATGGTATGTGGAATGTGAATTATAAAGTGCACAGAGAAGACAGCTTAGTTTTTTTTTCAAGCAATGTTGTAGTCGATTTTGATTCACATGCAAAAACTGAGCCGCTCTAAAGATGAAATTCAGAAGCATGATATATCCATCAATGAACTGCAATCAGAAGTCATATAGATACAAAGCCTTGTACGACAAAAGTGAGTGCCATAGATACAGCCACAACCGTCAGCATTAGAAATGCCCTGAATATTTTCCATCCTCAGGCTTTCCTGGTTTTGTAGTATCTACCAAAGTCTATTTATCATATACTAGTAGTAATACAAATTGAACTGTTAGGTTAATCATATCCAAAGAGAGGTTAACAAAAATCTTCACATACTTGCGGTTAGCTCTAGAATAGTGTTCCCTTGTCTACCGACCAAGGCACTACTCAAAATCCCATGAGTTCTTTGCACATACGAAGCCATTACAAACCAGTACACCATTGAAATATGCGTTTGATCTGATGGCAGAAGGCATCCCCTTAGAGCAAGTATAATAGCAGGCCGTAAGCCGACTAAATGTTAAGGTGGAAGAGAGGAGAAACGGACTATAAGCTTACAGCCGGTTTAGGCACAAGAACCAAAAAAAATCTGTGAGAGAGACAAGTGGGTATATATTAAGCTGTAGAAAGAAATTTAACTACTATATGAGGTGGGGTGAGAAAGAAAGCAGAAAAAAAAAAAAAAAAAAAAAAAACTTGCAGCCAGCAAGCCAAGTGTATTATTAGCCTCGCTCTTACGGAGAGAAACCACATGGACGGGGTCCGGGCCCGGGTCGGGGACGGGGACAGCGGCTTGGCACCTGGCGCTCAGCTCTCGGTCCTCCATCTCCGGGTAGCAGCGTTCTTGGACCTCCTCATTGGTGAGGTCGCCGAATTGGTTGAGGCCGTACACGTTTTGCCCGGCGGCGGCGGCGGCGTTGAGCCGGACGACGACGCGGCGGTTGCCCTTGAACAACCTGTACCGGCATTCCTCCTCACCGACGTCTCTGTAGGTATTGCCGTACTTGGCCTTCCACCCCACGAACATCCGGCGGGTCTCCTGCTCGTACGATTCCTCCCCCATCCGGACCCCGCGCCCGCGGTATATCTCCTCAATGGCGCTGGCGCTGAGACTGTTAAGGCCAGATGTGGTCACCCCAGCGGCCCTGGACCGGGCGACGCGGCGGCGGCTGTCCTTGAACACCGCATACCGGCACTCCTCTTCGCCGGCGTATCTATAGGTATTTCTGTACTTGGCCTTCCACTCCACGCAGTGACGGAGCCAGGAAAAAATTATAGCTGGGGCGAATTGCAACGACAAAATGAACCAAAAGGCACCGCATTCACATCGCACCTTATTAACATACTACAATCACACAAAATTCACATACTACAATCACCCCAATTATTACAAAAACGCTGCAATCACAAATGGTATGTTCACATACCTCAAATTTGAAGAATAAACTAAAAGTTCTTGATCACTTAATCCATATACACCTTCACCCTCCTCGTGATGGACCTCCTCCTCTCCTCCCTCCATCGGAGCAGAGCAGTAGAAGCCAACAGCGCTAGGAGCCGGGCGGCGCCGGGCGGGCCTGGTGGCGAGCTGGTGTGTCGAGCGGCGGGTGGTGGCGGGCGAGTGGCCGCTCTGGCACTCCGCATCCGTGTGGCGCGGTGCCCTATTAGCCAGTGGGCGGCGGGCGGCGACCAACTCCTCGCGAGACACGACCTCGCCTAGGGCGTCGGTGCGTCGCTGCAAATTGGGGAATTGGGGAACAAATCCACCGGTTGCCAATTGGGCTTAGGGAAGCAGTGTGCGACGGTGGGTGGGCCTCTCACCTCTATTGGGCTGAACAATGTGAAGAAAAAAGCCCATCTTCCAGTTTCTTCCTCAAGGCAAGATCACGCAGTCGCTTTGCTCGTGCTTGCGACTCCTCGCGCCGGGACCTCGAGTTTAAGGAAGAAGCGGGGTCCGGGAAGTGCAGGGACGAGCTCGCCCGGTAGGCGGGCGGCCGCCCCACCCGCCGCTTAGGGTGGCTCGCTTGATGACTCCACGAACATCCGGCGGGTCTCTGCTTTCGTCGTGTCATGGTGGCGGCGACACCGGCAACATTGGCGGCGACACCGGCAGAGCGCCGCCGCCGCCGCCCGCCGCAAGAGCAACCGTGGAGACCGCGCCATCCTGTCGCCCGCCAACGCATTTACGACGGGGTGGGTAGATCACTGGTGGGTGGGCTGCGGGCCTCAGCCTCAGACACTAAACCGGCCGGGCAAAAATCAAGAATCGTATTTTTTTTTATCAGAAAGGAAGAAGAAGCAAGATGAATCGTATTAAGAGGAAGAAAAGAAAGAGTGATCGTTTGGTTTTGGCTGGCCGGCCGTAGCTACAAAGGAAAGCTAAAAAACGGAAAAAAGAAAAAAAAAAGCTACCGTAAACTATCTTATATTTTTTTTATTTGATTAAGATTCCTAATCGGAGAGATTTAATTGGATTAGGATTCCTAGTTATATAAAAACAAAGGCTATAGGCGGTTTTCCACACTCACAAAGCTAGTCAAGAGATGACCGGACAAAAAAACAGATGGAGAAAAATTTTACTTTTTTATTATTAGAAGATATAGATATAGATATAGATTAAAGGTGTGGATAAGTTGTTTTTCGTTGATGTAGAGTTGCACATCGCTTAACTTTTTTTTAGGTTTGTGTTATTTTGTTGAGTAATTCTGTGAAGTCTGTTGAGCTGGACGTTCAGCGTCAGTGACCAATTCCTTGGGTTCCACTCTTTCAAAACTTTTGCGCATTAATTAAAATGCACTTTTTTCTAATTTCCGGTTGTTTCCATTTATAATTATCGTTAGCTGTTAAATACTACTCCTATGTGATTAGAGAATTTCGTTCTTACAGTCGTGGTGCTTTCCATGCCGGGTCTAATTGTTAGCTGAAAGTTCAACATCACTGCAACGTATTCCTTTGTTTTCACTCCTCCAGAATTTGGCTTATTATGTCGTTTTGACAAGATACTCGCCCGTCCCGAAATAATAAACCTCAGATCTTCAGACTCAAGCTTTTTCTTGATGACTTTAGGCTTCAGAAAAGTGTAGGTTTAAACGTTAACAGTTTTTTTCAGCCAGGAAATCAGGCTTGGCCATGTCCATGGCGACATGTCCTTTACCGGTTTAACCCTCAAAAAGTAACTCGTTCGGATGATCTGCAGCACGGTGTTTTTTGGATTTTTTTTTTTATGATTGAATAGTATTCTGTGAGAGAGAATAAGCTGAAACAAGCTAAAACAAGCTGGAAGTATATCAGCTGAACACGATGTAAATCAGATCAGTAGATAGTGCTAAAACAGTAGTGTAAAACACTACAGCAAGCAACTTTTAATGCTGCTGTAAAATTTGCTCTCCTGTGTCCATCCAACTAAAAAAAACTGGTTAAAAAGGGGTATCATTCGAAGAAGAAAGATATTTTCTTAAAAAAAATGGACGGGCTAATTTCAGCTAGGCTTCAGTGTATACTTGGCCTGGCCTGTTGCGGTATTAGGCGCACTCAGAACTAAGGATCGGTGGTGATGGCGTTGCGCTGGATCCTCCCGGGCAAAACCTGGTGGTGATGACTTGGCACAAAAATCTTTGGCAGGCATTCTCTGACGCAGAAAAAAAAATCCCCTTGCTCAAAAAAGAAGAAGAAAAACCTCCCCTTCAATTTGTTGAATAGAAAATCATGCTGTCTCCGGGGCTAAATTTCTTTGAACATACGCTCTCCATTTCGAATTGCAGGCATAGCTTTGCTCAGCAGTACTTGCCACAGCTCAAATGGCTAGAAGTACAAATATTTATTATATATAGTTTAGTTAGAACGGCGTATAATTGAGGTCTCGTTTGGTTTCTCATGTTTAAAATTTATCTATTAAAATCAATATCTAAACTTTTGTCACACATGTTTGGTTCTATTGACTAAAAATGACTAAAGGCCATTCAAACAGTTCAATAAAGACCAAACTACCCCTAATGAATGCACAAATCAGATTGGGGGGCCAGCAATAACGAGGGGCATCCACTAGCACTTTAGCCCACTTTAGCACATCCTTGAGGTACTAATGTGACTAAATTACTTTAGTTCCTTTTTAATCAATTTGTTTAACAGTTTAGTAGCTAAAATAGAAAAAAAAAACCAAACAGGTCGTTAAAACTTTTTGGAGGTCTTGAAGTCTTAGATCCTTCCATCATTCATGATTTTTTTTTTAAAAAAAAACAGAACCCTACATCCACGCAAGTTCCCTTTCCTTCCTTCCAACAGTGAAACGACGAGGGAGAGATGCTGCTGTCTGCTGTTGCTAGATGATTAAGGGGGTGTTTGGTTCTAGGGACTAATTTTTAGTCCCTGTCACATCGGATGTTTGGACACTAATTTGGAGTACTAAATATATTCTAATTACAAAACTAATTACACAGATGGAGACTAATTTACGAGACGAATCTATTAAGCCTAATTAATCCATCATTAGAGTATATTTACTGTAGCACCACATTGTCAAATCATGCACTAATTAGGCTTAATAGATTCGTCTCGCAAATTAGTCTCCATCTATGTAATTAGTTTTGTAATTAAAATATATTTAATACTCCAAATTAGTGTCCAAACATCCAATGTGACAGGGACTAAAAAATAGTCCCTGAAACCAAACACCCCCTAAAGATTCTTTGCTTTGCTTACGTCTGTGTGGCTGTGGCTGCGAAGGAGAAGAAACCAGGCGGCGGACAAGAAGGAAACCGCTTTTGCAAAACCAGAGCATGTCTCTGTCTCTCGCGATAGAAATGCGCGTTTGCCTTTGGCTACAACAATTCTACAAGCTACATCTATACTAAAAGAATACAATTCCAGTTCTGCTTTTTTAGCCAATATATCTAAAATCCAATCAAACTTATAAGAAAGAGCATAAATATAAAAATGAATATACTATAAAATATATTCCGCTTAATGATCTGTTTTATATTTTGTTAGAATTGTATTGTTTTAGACATATAAATGGAGTAGTAAAGTACTCTCTCCGTCCCTAAATATTTGTCGTTTTCGTTTTTCGAGAAAAAACTTTAATTAAATATATATTAAAAATATTAATATTTATGATACATAATTAGTATCGTTGGATAGATATTTGAATCTAGTTTTTTAATAAATTTATTTAGAGATAAAAATGTTGCATGTATTTTCTATAAATCGAATCAAAGTTATTGGCACGAAAATCGTGATGATTTATTGTACGATTTTTTTCTGTGCTGAGAAATGGCCCGGACACGAACACGAACGTTTGGTCCAATCATAGTCTTTCATCAATAATAAATAAAAATAAAATAATAAAAAGAAATATAAAAGTGGACGAAAGCAACGTCCACAAGGAAAGGAACCGCAAAGATGGGATGGGAGGCGACCACGAGAGCCGAGAGCGCAATGGATGGGCTTGTGAGATTCCCTACGTTACTCGCCGTGTAAAAGTCACGTCGGCCAAACGGACGTGGCCGTTAAGCGCCCGGCACGCCAGGAATGCCGACGTGCTCTTTTCCTCTAGGCATTTCTGGTCCATCTTGGAGTACTCCAGGAGTCCAGGTCATTAAGGTTCTGCTGTTTTAATAAAACTCTATAGCATCACGACCACCAATGATTAAGTGCTAAGCCTATTATTTTCTTTTTTATTATGAGCACGACGACAATTGCAAGCACATATTCGTACCCTTAGTTTTCTATAGACATACTTGAATAACTAAAGTTAGCTTAAATTTACCATTTTTAAATTTACCCTTAGGTAGTGTTTGGATGTAGATATTAGGACCCTAGATTTGGCTTTGGCGGCTACCCTGTAATCCCGTTGTTTGGATGGTTCTGGAATTGGTCGGAGGAATTGGCGCCCAATATCGCGCACCTCTCCCGCACGAAGGAAAGAGCCCGCCCACGATTCCGAGGTCTCCCGCTCTGTATTCGCCCAAAATCACTTCCCTTCCCTTCCCTTCCCCGACCCCCGCGCGTACCCCTTCGCGACCCGACTCGAAAAAAAGAAGCGCTAGCGAGCGACTCCAGAGAGAG